AATAGCTAAAAACGCCGAAATGTCAATATTTACGGAGTTATGGCCATTTTAAAGTATGCTAATTTTCCTCTTTAAAAAAGTGATCACAAATAATAGCTAAAAACCCCGAAATGTCAATATTTACGGAGTTATGGCCATTTTAAAATATGCTATTTTTCCTCTTTAAAATAGTGATCACAAATAATAGCTAAAAACCCCGAAATATCAATATTTACGGAGTTATGGCCATTTTAAAGTATGCTATTTTTCCTCTTTAAAAAAGTGATCACAAATAATAGCTAAAAACGCCGAAATGTCAATATTTACGGAGTTATGGCCATTTTAAAGTATGCTAATTTTCCTCTTTAAAAAAGTGATCACAAATAATAGCTAAAAACCCCGAAATGTCAATATTTACGGAGTTATGGCCATTTTAAAATATGCTATTTTTCCTCTTTAAAATAGTGATCACAAATAATAGCTAAAAACCCCGAAATGTCAATATTTACGGAGTTATGGCCATTTTAAAGTATGTTATTTTTCCTCTTTAAAAAAGTGATCACAAATAATAGCTAAAAAACCCCGAAATGTCAATATTTAAGGAGTTATGGCCATTATAAAGTATGCTATTTTTCCTCTTTAAAAAAGTGATCACAAATAATGGCTAAAAACCCCGAAATGTCAATATTTAAGGAGTTATGGCCATTTTAAAGTATGCTATTTTTCCTCTTTAAAAAAGTGATCACAAATAATAGCTAAAAACCCCGAAATATCAATATTTAAGGAGTTATGGCCATTTTAAAATATGCTATTTTTCCTCTTTAAAAAAATGATCACAAATAATAGCTAAAAACCCCGAAATGTCAATATTTACGGAGTTATGGCCATTCTAAAGTATGCTATTTTTCCTCTTTAAATAGGTGATCACAAATATTAGCTAAAAACCCCGAAATGTCAATATTTAAGGAGTTATAGCCATTTTAAAGTATGCTATTTTTCCTCTTTAAAAAAGTGATCACAAATAATAGCTAAAAACCCCGAAATGTCAATATTTAAGGAGTTATGGCCATTTTAAAGTATGTTATTTCTCCTCTTTAAAAAAGTGATCACAAATAATAGCTGAAAACCCCGAAATGTCAATATTTAAGGAGTTATGGCCATTTTAAAGTATGCTATTTCTCCTCTTTAAAAAAGTGATCACAAATAATAGCTAAAATCCCCGAAATGTCAATATTTGAGGAGTTGTGGCCATTTTAAAGTATGCTATTTTTCCCCTTTAAAAAAGTGATCACAAATAATAGCTAAAAACCCCGAAATGTCAATATTTAAGGAGTTATGGCCATTTTAAAGTATGCTATTGTTCCTCTTTAAAAAATGATCACAAATAATAGCTAAAAACCCCGAAATGTTAATATTTAAGGAGTTATGGCCATTTTAAAGTATGCTATTTTTCCCCTTTAAAAAAGTGATCACAAATAATAGCTAAAAACCCCGAAATGTCAATATTTAAGGAGTTATGGCCATTTTAAAGTATGCTATTGTTCCTCTTTAAAAAATGATCACAAATAATAGCTAAAAACCCCGAAATGTCAATATTTAAGGAGTTATGGCCATTTTAAAGTATGCTATTTTTCCCCTTTAAAAAAGTGATCACAAATAATAGCTAAAAACCCCGAAATGTCAATATTTAAGGAGTTATAGCCATTTAAAGTAAAGCTAGAAATCATCGAAAAGCAATACTTCCACAAAAACACATTCAATAAAAACCTACATTAACCTTCGTTTCATTTCCATTGCATTTTCCTGTCATATAAAAAACCATCACTCTTCTGCCTTTAATAATGCCCTGTGACATATTTTATGTCACAACTAGTTCCGGTTGTAACAATTGCGAAGTCACGGATATGAGCTTGACAAACACACATCACTATTAACGTCTACAAATTGACAGAACTTATCAGCGAGCAAACAAAACAAAGTGCAAAGCAATGTAAAGAGGAAAAAACGCTAATAACAAAAACAAAAAAAAAAAAAACACAAACAGATAAACCACCGGGAAAAAACTAAACGCCGAGTGAGTTAATTGAAATAAAATCAATGAAAAACCCCTGTAAACGAAAACGCCATTAATGTTTAATAAAAACTAAAAGGGAAACACCTACGACGGCAATGCAATTTCAATGGAAAACAAATAAGTCAACAAATAATAACAACAACAAAAAAAAAATAATGGTATTTATATGAAAAATAAAATTATCGGAAAAAGGAAAACAAAACTACAATAAACCCAACCATTAGCCACACTCATCAAAATAACGACGACGACGATGTGGTGATGGGGAGTGTTATAGTCACTGACGACAAGCGAAACACCACCATTTCCAATATTCCTAATAATCAACATCCTACCTCTTCAAAACAAATACCAGCCACAGACACCCGCATCACCCCACCGGCAGCCTCTCTTTGCCGTTAATTTTTTATCATTAATTTCGAAGTATTTTTTCCGATAGATAAAAACGGCATTACTACTTATCGGGTCAACATCATCAACACATTTCACTCACATTTGTGTCGCTCTGTTCTTTGTGTCTTCTTGTCTTCACTCACCTCCCCTCAGCGCGCACACACACACACAACTTGTGTCTTGTCTTGCCCACCTTCCACCCACTACACACAAAATTTCTCCATCTAATTCATAAAATAAAATAAAACAACATAAAATTTTGAGGCAAATCTCTTCGCCACTACCTCATCTCCAAATACCTCATGTTTCGAACAACAGAAAAACATAAATTCTAAAATACACAACAGAATCCAAAATAAATTTTATAAAAATAGAAAAATCAATTCCATGATGACGATGATATTGGACAAGAATAAGGAATAACAAGCAACGGCGGCGGCAGAAGCAGCAGCAGCTAGTCAGTCAGTCAGTGTCATCCACAACAACAACAAGAACAACAATAGCATTCATTTATAAATTGAACACAAAGAGCAAGAGATAATTCTTCCGCCGCTGAGAGAGAAATTTAAGGGAATGTGAGCCCGTTTTATGTTGCAGAGACTTTCTCTCGCAAAAAGCACAAAGTAACGACAACAGGAGAATATTTTTAAAAATAACAGTCAATTCAATGTTGTCAACTAGATGGAAGTTTAAAAATCACCAAAATAAAACCATATAAACCTTCCATACAGATGAGGCGATAGAAAACCTCATGGTCCTCCTTAGATAATAAAATACCACCAGCCTTTCTGTGGCATTCAAAGGATATGAAACATCGATAGGCTTTCTTAAGCTCAAGCCTCACATCACCTACATACAAAAGAGGACCTCCGGTTCTTCTGTAGAGAAAATAAAACTTTAAGTTCTTCTATTCTTTTAGAAACATTCCAGGTGTTCTATGAATAGCAAAAGACCTGCAGGTCTTCCGCAGAGAGTATAAGGCATCTATGCATCCATGATTAAATTCTTCTATGGATAATTAAGGAGATATAAACAATAGAAGAGCTCCAGCTCTTCAATGGACAATAGCAGCTCATCTATGGACAAAAGCAGAGCTCCACAGCTCTTCTATGGTCAATAGCAGAGAGAGCCATATGAGAGCTCCAGCTCTCCCCTTTGAGCCATATGAGAGCTGGAGCTCTCCTATGAGCCATATGAGAGCTGGAGCTCTCCTATGAGCCATAGAAGAGCTCCAGCTCTCCCATGAGCCATAGAAGAGCTCCAGCTCTCCCATGAGCCGTAGAAGAGCTCCAGCTCTCCCATGAGCCATAGAAGAGCTCCAGCTCTCCCATGAGCCATAGGAGAGCTTAAGCTCTCCCATGAGCCATAGAAGAGCTTAAGCTCTCCCATGAGCCATAGAAGAGCTTAAGCTCTCCCATTAGCCATAGAAGAGCTTAAGCTCTCCCATGAGCCATAGAAGAGCTTAAGCTCTCCCATGAGCCATAGAAGAGCTTAAGCTCTCCCATGAGCCATAGAAGAGCTTAAGCTCTCCTATGAGCCATAGAAGAGGTCCAGCTCTCCTAAGAGCCATAGAAGAGCTCCAGCTCTCCTATGAGCCATATGAGAACCCAAGCTCTCCTATGAGCCATAGAAGAGCTCCAGCTCTCCTATGAGCCATATGAGAGCCCAAGCTCTCCTATGAGCCATATGAGAGCCCAAGCTCTCCTATGAGCCATATGAGAGCTCAAGCTCTCCTATGAGCCATATGAGAGCTCAAGCTCTCCTAAGAGCCATATGAGAGCTCAAGCTCTCCTATGAGCCATATGAGAGCTCAAGCTCTCCTATGAGCCATATGAGAGCTCAAGCTCTCCTATATGTCATATGAGAGCTCAAGCTCTCCTATATGTCATATGAGAGCTCAAGCTCTCATATATGCCATATGAGAGCTCAAGCTCTCCTATGAGCCATATGAGAGCTCAAGCTCTCCTATGAGCCATAGTAGAGCTTAAGTTCTTCTATGAAAAATAGGAGGGCATGAACTCTTCTATGGAAAATAGAAGAGCTGAAGGCCTTCCATAGAAAATAGAAGAGCTAAAGCTGAAGACAATAGAAGAGCCTCAAGCTCTCCTAAGAACCCTAGAAGACCTCAAGCTCTTCTGTGTCCAATAAAAATATTAATCTTTTCAATACCTCAATACAAGACCTCAATCTCTTCTATAGCAAATACAAGACCTCAAGTTATTCTATGGCCAATAGAAAACCTCAAGCGCATATATGGTTAATAGAAGACCTCAAACTCTTCTATGGACAAAAAAATATATTAGGCTGTTCTACAAATAAAATAGAAGACGTCCAGCTTTTCCACAAAAAACCTTGTGATTTACTATTGAAAAAAAACGCCAAAATAGCCACATTATTTGAAAACTTTGAAAAAGCTCTTCGTCTCTCTTAAAAACCAAGAGACCAACAAGACAATCAGAACTAATGTTTTGCTAATTGAGAACTTCATTATTTCTTGGTCCCCAACAGACACACAATTTAAGGGAGCTTCTTGGCCTCTTCGCTCGGAAATTCCATTTCAGTTTTCCCTCAGATGTGGATGCGGAAAATGTAGAAAATTGGTCGTGGTCGTCGTGGTTTGTCTAGAAAATGTTTATCCTAAAAAAATCGTGTTGAGCTGTGAGCGGCGGTGTGTTTTTTTGCGTGTTGTGTCATTATCGTTTAGAACATTTGTTGTCTATGAAGAGGAAAACGACAAACAGCGGGAGAACGGGCGGTCGTTGTTACTGCGTCAAACGGTGGACAGACGGGCTAACTAACTAACTGCTAACTAAGTAGCTAAGAAAATCCTAATAAGTGAATAAATGTGTAACAACAATTAACTAATAAAACAAATACAACTACACTGATAGCATACATTCGGGTGTATGTGTGTGTCTGCAGGCATACGTCAACGTGTTCAAGTAAATTGTTTAACATTAATTTTGTTTTAGCATAAAGTGAGAAAGAAATTAAGAAACGAAATTTCAAATTGCCATACACACACACAGAGGTACGCACATATTCACACAAACACACACACCCGCACATGGAGACACACATATGCAAGTAACAAACTAGAGCATTGTGTTTATGTTTATTATACGCCGTCTGACCGTCTGCTCTGGCGTATGAATGATACGAAACGACACCGCCACCGCGTCAAACAGCCCAAATCGATGGAAGGAGGAGGCAGAAGAACAAGAACACCAAGAAGCAGCAAGGGAGGATACCCAACGAGGCGTTAACCCTAGAAAGCACACGAAAAAAAAAGAAAGTACAAACAAAGCATAACTCAGACATACTTATTTGCACACAAACACAGTGGTTGTCGTTCTTCTTTCGTCGCCGTCGTCCGTCGTCTTCTACTTCTTCTTCATCATCATCATCTGCCACTTGGTGGCGGTGCGCTTCTCTTCCTCGTTTTCTCATTTTTTGATTTATTAAGTAGTTGTTGTTTGTTTTGTTGTCGTTACCGAGCCATCGACAAAAAGCCAGTGAGTGGTGCCATCCAGCTACACAACAGATTCATTCGTTTGCCAGCCTGCCTGCCTGCCAATGAAAATGGCAAAGCAGAGGTTGACAGACTGTGACCTGTGACCTCATGGACATTACAATCGAACATATGTATGTAGTTACTCACACACATGTGAACACGGGATTAGATGGCAAATGGAAAAAAGAGTGAATTTTTATCTTGGCAATGCTGCTGACTGACACCAAAATGGAATTTCAAAAAAGGAAACAACTTAAAAATGTGGCGGCGTCCCATTCCACACACACCCCACCTTGGGCAAACCACAAATCTGGGGAAAAAGATCTTTTTCTGTCTTTTCCACCTTAGACGAAGTCGGTTAAGTGCCCCTCGGTGGTTTGGCTTGGCCTACTAACAGACAGACAGACAGTATCGCCAACATATACAGGTATGGCAACGTAACACTTCAACAGCCAGCCAGCCAAGCTGACAGGCAGCCAGCCCAAGCCCCAACCTCCTTCCACCTGCTGGATTTTGTTGTGCGGATTATAAAATGCGATTTTCATTGAATACACACAGAGGTAGAGTCGCTGGTTCGGTTGGTTCACTGTTGCCTCGTTAACAGTCATCTGTTATGGGTTTAACAGTGAGCACAACTCGTTACTCGTTGTCTCAATTGCTCGCTGATGTAGGCAGCTTGACAGGGAGAGAGTGGAGAGAGAGAGTTTAAAACAGAGAGTTGTGTTGGTTTTTTTGTGGAATAGAGATTTTCAATCTGTCACTTTGTTCAGCAAGACCGTTGTTGATTATCCTGTGGGAACAGAGTTGCCAAGTTATTTACGCGAAGTTTTGGGGGATTTATTATATATATAAAGCTTGAAACACTGTTGGACAAATTTTAAGTTTTTTTTTCAATGAATATGGGAAAAACATACCAATTATGGAATTTTGAAAATTTACACCGCAAAATAAACTAAATAGAGGTGGGCAAGTTCCCCCCTAATCACATCATTTGACATTTTCGGAATAAGATTTCTTGGAATCCGCTGATTTTAGGTATTTAGTGTCTAGGTAATATTACAGAGAACAATACGACGATTATTTTGTACAAGTTTTAACCCATGGCACATTTCAGGGTTTTAGCCTTACTGTCTATGAATTTGTGAAAGATTCTCCTACAAAGCATCATTTTGGAGGGAAGACGTCAAAGACAAACTTGTTTAACACTACATTTTCTATAAATCACCAAGAAAATATTTACATCAATGTTGCCAAAAAACGAAAATATTTTCCATTTTCTCATCGGCCTTTTTTCGAGTTGATGCATGAAAGTAGGTAAAAAATGACACCGAAAATTGAAGAGAATCTTTTATAGTACATAGTACAATGTTCCTAAAATTACATTGAAATTCGAGGAAGAGCATTTCTTCCTTTGAGACTTTCCCCCAAAAAAAAAAGTATTAAGAGGATTTTGGCTCGGAATAGAAATATGTTGAATTAGCAGTACTAGCAAGTGCTCGTTACTTCGTCAACGAAAAATCCACCATAAAATTTTAGATTCGTTCCAACAGTTCGTGTTAAACTTGTACTCAAAATGCACAATTTGTTAAGTTTGATCAAATTTTCTCGTTCTAAATTTTCAAACTTTCAAGGTTGGAAATAATAATGGTAAAATGTTAACCATTTACATCAACAATTATTCAAAATCTTTTAATTTTAAGTTTACCAAGAAGGTTATCGGTAGAAACATTGCACAAGGCAGCTACATTAAATTTTTCTGTCCAAAACTATTTTAATGTCTCCAATATCACATTTCAGTTTTCAGCTCTATCCCTTCATCCAATACCAAATCTATTTATATTTAGTTCGCATATCCAAAACAATGTTCTGTCATTCAAAATTAGTACCATTTGGTATTTTTCGAACAATTATAGCACGGATTGCATTTCTATCACCACATCCATAGCTCAATCCCGACCAACAGCGACCTCAATATCAAGTTTGGGGATTCCAGCTCTATTCTTTCACCCACTACCCAATTTCCTAACATTTAGTAATTTTCGAACAGTTATAGCACATATTTTCAAAACCATATCTCAATTTCAGATTTGAACAGAGGCCTTAATATAAAATTTGAGTATTCCAGCGCTACCCTTTTCTCTCCATCTCCATATCTCAACTCCAGATACCAATTGAAACCTCTATATCAAATTTGAGGATTCCAGCCCTATCCCTTCATTTAATACTAAATTTAGTACCTTTCGTACAAGTATAGTACACATTTCCAAAACCACTTCCAGATCTTAATTTCCGATACCAACACATACCTCAATAACAAATTTATAGATTGCAGCTCTATCCCTTCACTCACTACCCAATTTTTGTACCATAGTATATTTCGTATAAATATATTACGCATTTCAAAAACCACCACCACAGACACCATCAGATTATCAAATTTAAAAATTGTATCTCTATTCCTTCACCCAATACCGAATATAGTGCCATTTGGTACTTTTAGTCCAATTATAGTACACATTTCCGCAACTAAATTTATATATGCAGGCTGCAAATGAACAGCGACGCTCATACCAAATTTCAGATTTCAAGCACTATATGTTCACATTACCAATACCACCTCTTTATCACAAACCTTACCTCAATACAACATTTCAAAATTCCAGCTTCGTCCATTCACCCTAAACCAAACTGTTCCAAATTTAGTACCATTTCCTACAGTTCGAACACATAGTACGCATTTCCAAAATCAGCTTCCTATATCGAACTTAATTTCCACCCTTGTTTCTCATACCAATTTTCAAGTTTTAAACTCTATCCGTTCATATAATACCAATAAGTAACAATTTTGAAGTTTAGTACCATTTTGAAAATTTTGAAATCTTAAAGTTCGAATTTCCAAACACCCATATACGGCACTCCATCAGTTACTCTCATTTCAAATTTTAGAATTCTAGCTAATTCCTTTTGTTTAATGCAAAGTATTTAATTATACCCTCAGCCATATAGCTAGAGAGGGTACATATGGCTATATATCCTTTGATACTGCCAAAATGTGCCTCATCGAAAGACCAAAGATATGTTTGGACCAAATCCGTTTCAGAACATTTGGAGTCGATCTAGCGATGTCCGTCCGTCCGTATGGCTCCTCTCGAAGGGAGTATCCGATTTGACCCAAACTTGTTACATCGTAATAGTATCGTCAAACCTAGATCGAGTTCGGAGATGGGCAATATCGGTCCACTCCTTCTTTTTCCTCCTCCACAAAATGTGAACATTTTCAAAAAAAATATACTGCACTGAAAGAGAAACGATGATCCGATTTTGCTCCAACTTTGCTAGGCCTGGTGCGAAAATGGACAATATCGGTCCACTCCATCAAGTACCTCCCCCACAAAGTGCCAAAATTTTGAATAATTACAACTCTTATAACATGTGATGTAATAGTCTAATTGTCTTCAAATTTCACGCATAACATTGTTTCTATTGACACAAGATCTGTTGTGAAGATGGGAGATATCGATGCACTCCTTCTGATACCTCCCCCACAAAGGGTCAACATTTTGAATGTTCATGAAGCTCATAAAACACGAAATTAACATCCGAATTCATTCAGACTTGCCACATCACAATATTTCCATCAACACAAGATCTGTTATAGAGATGGTAGAGATCGGACTATTCATTCTGGTACCTCCCCCACAAAAGGTTAAAATTTTGAATAACCAAAACAATCATAAAATCCGAAATAAGCATCCGGTTCTCTTCAACTAAAACACATCACAATATTTTTATTAGCCCGAGGTCTGGTGTGAAGATGGGATCTCCGATTCCATTCAGACTTGGTAAATGCCAAAATTTCTATCAACACAAGATCTGTTATAAAGATGGTAGGGATCGCACCATTTCTTCTGGTACCTGCCCCCACATAGGGTTCAAGATTTGCGAAACTAGTCGGCGATGATTTGTACTTGTTATATCTAAATATTTCTCTTAACCAGAAATCTGAGATGAATAAGTAATTTATCGGAATTTATGATTTCGCATAAAATTGGGTATAAATGTTCGATTTCCTTCAAAATTTGTCAAATACAAATATCAGTCTTAGGTCAGATACGAATTGGTCAATATTGGCCAACTGCTTCGGAACCTCCCCTAGTAATAAAGAGTCAGCAGTTTGAATAATCATAACTCAAGGCTGGGGGTATTCATCTGTCGGCAAAACCGACTGTTACTATTTTACGTGTTTTTAATACATTTTAGTACTTTTAGTCCCCTTTTAGTACGAATTTTCTAAAAACCCGACCTTATTAAAGGGTTTTATTTAGCTCACCCCGTTTGTTTTATTATTTATTATTTTTTTTTTTTATTTATTCATTACTATTTTTTTTTGAAAAACTTTCCTTTTATATCTCATCGCTCAATTCCTCCTAACAAAGAAAAATGCATTCACATGGCAACCCTGTGCTGCAATGTCTGATTATGCTCCTGTTTACGGTCGTTCTTGTCATTCTATTGACTGTGGTGAAAGGTGGTGTATTTGTTCTGGCTACTATTTTTCTACTATGCCAAGGAGCTAACGTAAGCTCTCCTGAGCTCTCCTTGTGCATGTGTGTGTGTGTTTCTGTGCTCACTCGCTCGCTCGCCTGCTTTTGCCATCCATTGTGCCTGTGTGTCCTGAATGGATGTGCGCAGCTACACAAATGCTTCTTCTTCTTCTGCTTCTTGCTATTTTTCATTCCTCCTTTTTTTTATTCATCCAGAGATTCCTTAATCATAATCATCATCATATACCACCAAAGCATAACTTCACTTTCATAGACCAAAAAGGCGAAAAACGACTGAAAAATGGAATCTTTTGAAGGGAAAAATTCATTAAAAAAAAAGCCTTGGTGGTAAAGTGTTAATAAATTTTGAAAATCCAAATCCAAATGCAAAACCAAATAGAAGTGCCGAAAAAAGACTGTACATTCTTTTCTAACAAATTGCAATAATGTTTAAATAAAGAAAGCGAAGAAAAAATATACCCCACAAAAGAAAATTCCAAACTAAACCCCGAAAAAAAAGGATACAAAAGAAGTGAAGAAAATTTTTTAGTGAACCCAGAATGTAAATGCCCTCGAGGCCGTTTACCACAACTGGTTACATACGACTCCTGCACACACCAAAAAAAAAGTAAAAAAACGAGCAAAAAATAAGTTTTGAAAAAATTGAAAAAAAAAAAATCGGTGCATATCACCAGTGTTAAACGAAAATCCGAAAGTTAAATAAAGTCTAAATCGAAAAAAAAAAAAACAAAACCTAAACCGAAAATACAAATATTCCAACAACAACAACATAAATGAAATCCGTTCCATAACCGTACCGTCTTGTCTTTCCTCCTCTATATTAAAAGAAGAAATAAATATATAAAAAATTACAAATATATATATGTATATGAATACACTCTCAGCTATAAAAAACAGAAATTAATCTATATTTAAATATAAATCTTCATTATTATCATCATCTCTATCGTCATCATCTTTAATATACTACATATGTATATTCCTCCAAATGCAAACGCTTCCTATTTTACAACTTTATAGTAGTCGCAGAAGATTGTAGTACTCCTCCTCGTCGTTTGTGAAAATCAATGGCCTTAGCTGGAACAGTTGTTGGTGTTGTTGTTTTATTCGTGGTGAAGTACAAAGCAGGAATCATCATCATCATCATCACCATCGTTGTCGCCATCCAGAGTTTTAGTAGATTGTGACGACGACGGCGAGATGGCAACAATGTCGTCGATATAGGCAGTAACATCAAAGGATACGTCAAACTGTGTGGATTTTAAGCAAAGGAATTAAACAAAAAAACAACAGCAACTAAAAAACCAAACAAACAATATTTCACACACACACATACATTTCTTATAAATTATGGGCTGTGGACAAAGTAAAATTCATCTTTATCCTCGTAAATCGAAAAGTAAAGCAAATGGCAAAAAAGGAGGACATGGTAAGTAGTAATAGTAGTAGTCATTTAGAGACAGTCATTCCATCCACCCATTCGCTTCACTCAACTTTACTCCCCATTCCCAGCAATTTAACAGAACCCAACATACTCTGCTGTACCGTGGACGTATACGCAATGTAATGTAACATAACAGCCGAAGCATAAAAACGCAACAACAATAACAACATTGTTGCTATTGTTTTTAATAGAAAACCACAAATAGTTTAGCAACAACAATGTGAGAGAAAACAACACAGAGAATGAATGAAGAATAACAATTAAACATTTAACACTCCATATGAAATGATGTGAAACAGTTGTGTTTTATCATAGGCTCCCCCCATTTCGAATACTCAAACAAACACACACAATCTCTCGCTCTCTTCGTTTGCTTCTTCCACAGATTATTATTTTTACATTAAAGTAAATAGTCAGTGATGCCAATGTGGCGATTTTTTATGCTAATTTTTTCACTAAACGAGAGATTAAAAAAATATATGATTCATCTTGAGACGAAATCTGTGATTCGAGAGAATATCCATAATTCTGTGGCTATTCCAATATTCCAGTTCTTCGCTACCTTGCAAATAGGGATGACTGAGTGTGTGCGACTGTCATTTAATATCCGTTCAATAAGTTTGAATCGCAGAATTTTGAAGATACTTTAACTCTGTGGAACTTTAACTCTGGGGAGAATATCTCCAGACAAAAATAAATAAAACTGACAAGGTTCATCCTAAAGCAGGGTCATATTCCTATCTGGTCAAAATTCCACAAACATTGCATATTTGCTCTGTAGTACATGCCCGGAATCTAACGTTTTTTCAACTACTACTATTATTATATGACTGGAACTTTGCGAAGAGCCACTAAAAATGTTGTCCAGGTTTTTGAAAAGAAAAAAACATATTCTTATAAAATTTCCCATCTTCTCAAAATTCCACACACATTGCATATTTGCCCTGCAGTATAGGGTCCGAAATCTAACGTTTTTTCAACTCGTGCTTATTTTGCGACTGGAACTTTGCTTTGAAAACCGTGGTAATATTGCAGAATGTGTGGGAAAATTGAGTACGGATTTCGGAAGAAGAGAAGCATTATCAGGTCCGTATGAAAACAAACAAACTTGGGGCACAGAAAACCTACCCGCTTACATTGAAAAGACGATGCACTCAAAAAAACGAGGTACCGTTTTTTTTTTTTGTGCGGATGGTCAAGAGGCATAATTAGACCATTGTTTTATACCCTCCTCCGTAGTAAGTTTGTCAATCCGTTTGTATTCTTGATCAGCATAAAATTCTATGTCAATTTAGAGATGTCCGTCCGTCTGTAGAAATTACTATAGCTTTCGAACGAATTGAAATAAGTAGATACAATTTTACATAGAGGTGTGTTTGTTCTGCAGAACTTTTGGTAGTGAAATTGGGCTATATAGGTTCACGTTTTTGTATAGCACCCATATTAAATGATTTTAGCGTCACTATTCATCGAAATTGTTTCAAATTTAAAGTTTGTAATGGGTACTACAGAATGCGACAGGAAACTGCGTATGTAGGTCCACGCCTTCATATAGCCCCCATATGACGGTACCTTCCTATATTCGGTATTTTGATGATTTTAGCGACATTATTCAGCAGAATTGTTTCATATTTCATATTTGAAGTTTCTAAAGGCTAAAACAGAAAGCTATAACAGAAATTTGACTATGCATGTCCACGTCTTCATATAGCTCCCATATAACGGTACCTTGCTAAATTCGGTATTTATATTATTTTAGCGGCACTATTAATCCGAATTGTTTCAAATTCGTATTGGGTACTACAGCATGTGACAGAAAACTTCGTATGTAGGTCCACGTCTTCGTATAGCCCCCATATGACGGTACCTCCCTATGTTCGGTATTTTTATAATTTTTAACAGTATTTTTCAACATATTTTTTTAAATGCCAAATTACTTCCAAATGTTGGAGGGTATTCAAAGTTCGGCCCGGTCGAACTTATTGCTTTCGGACATGTTTTTGTCGAAAATAAACAAGGAGTGACCTCGTAAAACGAATTTTTCTTCACAAAAACTTAAAGTGGAGTATATTGGCAACATTTGGTTTCAAGAGGATGACACTACGTGCCACAACGACACTCAATTTAAAAACAAAATATTTGGCGGACCCTTTTCGTAGTTCATTATACCCTCAGCCATATGGCTAGAGAGGGTATATATCATTTGATACGGCCAAAACAATCCCCATTGAAATAACTGTTTTAGACCCTAGGTCTCTTTGGACCAAATCAGTTTCCTCCTTCTTTCCTCCTTCTGGTACCTCCCACACAAAATGTCAATTTTTTCAAAGAAAATAATTTACTGCACCGAAAGAGAAATGATAGATTTTGTTCCAACTTTGCGAATCATAATATTTACATCAGTGGTAGGTCAGGTACGAAAATGAACAATACCGGTCCACTACATCAAGTGCCGATTGTCTATAAGTTTTCGATTGTGTTTAAATTACACACATCCAATTTTTTCTACTAACACAAGTTATGGCATGAAGATGGAAGATATCGGTCCACTTCTTCTGGTACCTCACCCACAAAGGGTCAAAATTTTGAATATTCATGAAGCTCATAAAACGCAAAATTAAGATCAGATTTCATTCAGACTTGGTACATCTCAATATTTCCATCAACACAAGATTTGTCATAAAGATGGTAGAGATCAGACCATTTCTTCTGGTACATCCCCCACATAGGGTTCAACGTTTTAAAAAAGAAAAAAAACTCAAAGAAAGCGAAATAAGCTTCCAACTCTCTTCAAATTTCACACATCTAAATTTTTTTGCTAACACAAAATAATCGAACTTTGTCTGAGGGTATATATTTGTCGGCAAAACCGACTGACACTTTTCAACTTGTTATTATAACTTTTAATCATTCCCACAATTTTTTCAAGATGTTTTTTCAATGAAATTCTAATAAATGAAAATGAGTAGTAAGCACAATTTGGCACTCTAGTTTGGTTTTGGGCATTTTTTTCAAGATAGAGTAACTGATACTTATTCAGACCGAAGTGAATATTTTTTAAGCCTCGAATTGAAAATTTAGTTATTTTTTATCATTAGATCGAAAAATCTGCAACTGGAAAATATTTGTACAAGCACTCTGAGAACCAACAAACGTGGATTTTTAAGAAATACTTTTTCAAGCACTGTCAGGGCCAAAAAAATACCAACATACACCAATTTTCGAAGAATAGTTTTTGAAAAAGACCAATAGACCAATGAACCCGAATTTTTAGAGAATATTTCTTCAGGAACCAACAGACCAATAAACATGGATATTTAAAAAATTTGTTCAGGGACTATCAAAAAACGTGGTTTTTTTAAAAAAAATATTTTTGCAAGAAGCAAAGACCAATAAACGTGAAATTCGTAGTTAATCGTAAACGGAGAATTATTATAACCGATCGATTCGGGTTTTGATCGGTGTGCTGTTTATACCCTACACCACAAGGTGGTCAGGGTAATATGTCTTTGTGCATTAGTTTGTAACAGGCAAAAGGAAACGAGATAGACCAATAGTTCATTTTTATGATCTGCATAGAATCATATTCTGAGTCGACTTATGTATATCCGTCTGTCCATTTATTTTTGTAAACAAAGTACAGTTCGCATTTATTGCCCTATCCAGCTGAAATTTTGCACAAACCATTTGTTTGGCCCAAGGACGAACCCTTTTGGAGATAATCGGTCAAAATTTACATATAGCTCCCATATATATCTTCGTCCGATTTGCCTTTTATTGTGCACTAAACGTGTAATATCAGCCCGAATAGTATGACATTTTGCACATACAACCAAATTAGGCCTGAAAATAAGTATGCCAAATTTGATCGAAATCGGTTCAGATATAGCTATAGCTCCCATATATATTGTTCATCCGATGTGTTTTTTTTTTTTTTTGTCCTCCGCAGCCGTAATATGCACTATGTAACAACAATATCTGGGGAAATATATCAAATACAGCTCAGAAATAAATTTGCTAAATTGTATCGAAATCGTTTCAGATTTGGATATAGCCCCCATATATAACTTCGTCCGATTTACCTTTGATTGTGCACCAAACGACTAATATTTGCCCAAATGGGATGAAATTTGTCACTTACGACCGAATTGAGTCTAGAAGCTAGTATGTCAAATTTGGTAAAGATCGGTTCAGATATAGCAATAGCTCCCATATATACTGTTCATCCGATTTGTTATATTTGTTACCCACAGCCGTAATATGCACTCCTAAACAACGATATTCAGGGAAATATATAAAATACAGCTCAGAAATATCTTTACCAAATTATATCGAGATCGGTTCCGATTTGGATATTTGGAATGTAAATTCATTAATTGTTACGGCAACAAAAACATAACTTATGACATGTCTCATTTCAACAAATTGTACCATTTTTTTTCATTCAGTCTTCGTAGAAAAACAAATTTTTAAAAGGAACTAAATATATTTAAAATATAGTTTCTAAAACTCCTATCTAAAAAATCCATCACCCTCCATTCACTTTCTTGACAAATTGGGTAAAAAAAAACACTTTTTAATACACAATTTTCCTATTTTCTCTTTTCGAGTTTCATAATACCTTTTAACATTTGTGACCCAGAGTACATAATTTGTCAACATATTAAGTGTATTATGTTCTTTCCCAAACACACATGTGCCAATATATGAAAATAAAAAAATAGTTATCAAGGAAATTGTTAGTTTGTCCCCCTTTTCAGTGGCCCAATTTCCTTTTCTAAAGCCCAACTGATTTTCAATTTCTTTTATCTTGTATTTGACGATTTTTTAGCACAAACAATGTTGGCATCACTGTTTTATAAACAATACTCCCTGCAACACAAAACAACATCATCATCATCGTCGTTGTGCTCGACGTCGTTGTTGTAAATCATATACACATAATGGAACTGAATTAGACGAACACACACACACACATACGCACA